GAAAAACCTCTTAAAGCTGTTATCCATCTGCATTTCGCTCAACGTGTGTGAAACAACTATACAGAAAACAGTAAGCTCTCTGTTTCTTACAGCTATATTCCAGTCTACAAACCAATTTATACTCCAGGAGAATTATTCTCTCCTTTTATTTCTCTTCCTCTCTCTGTTGTTTGTTTTGTTTGGTATTTTTTTTGTTTTGTTTTGTTTTTTTTTGGGGGGGGGGTTCGTGGTTTGGGTTTTTTTTGTTGATTGGTTTGGGGGTGATTTTTTTGGGTTTTTTTGTTTGTTTGTTTGGTTTTTTTTTAATCATAAGCTGTAAAACCCAACTTTGTGTGATAGCTTGAAAGAATCCCCCAACTTTATATCCTAGATGTCTGGGTGGACAAGTATACCTTTTTATTTTATTACCTGGGCTGTGATTATCTATCTATTATTTGAAGATGATTGGTGACATTATCAGCATTGAAGATTAGATACCAGCTTCTAAGAAAAACTTAAAAGTTTAGGGGTTTTATTCCAGTTCAAATTATGTCCCTTCTCAGTCTAATTTCTTACGATTCATGAAAATACTCTTACTTTTGTCTAAGAGACTTAAGGCAAGTGAGCACATTTTGCCAAACGCAGCTCAAGCGCATAGCAGGTTCCCCCACAATATAACCTGGATTTAATTTGCCTTGTAACAAAGTAGATTGTTATCTCTGATTACAGTCAATCCCATTTGGCATTCTTTGTTAAGGTCTTCTTCTGACACTGTGTTAAACACTGCATCAGAAATAGAACAGGGGAGTTCAAGAGGAAGAACTATTACTGTGCAGAGCAAAGCCTAGTGACAGTCAGAGAAAATCAGCTACACAGGACATTTAATACTAGCTTGAACTAAATGCCAGTTACTAGCACAGGAATTGGGCTGTATTGACAAAGAAAGAGGGAACAGAAGCTGCTAGCATTGTCCTCCTATTATTACATTCTAGAACTGGGGTGCTGATTTTCTCATATATTTGAATGGTACAACGGAAAGAGCTAAATTGGAGCTAAATGAAGTCCAATGACAAGTATCTATCTCAGCATGGGGGAAACAGTTCTGTCTACTCTTCTCACAAGCCGCTGTATTCTCATGTTTAGCCCATTTGTACGAAGCTATAGAAAGCAAAGTACTGCTGCACTGTACCCTGCTGCAGGTACTCTCAGTGGGCATACAGAATGAAACCAACATTCCTCTCAGGCTAAAGTAACCTGCACATAGCCATAGACCTGTTCTCTCTAATTCTCATATATCTAGGGTAAGAAAACATAATCCTTGTAGCAGGAGAGTCTAAAACATACACATTCTTTTAATGAAGAAGCAGGATGTAACTTCGATAAAACTATTTCTTTGTTTTATGAAGTTCAACAAGGCCAAGTGCTGGGTCCTGCACCTGGGCCAGAGCAACTGCCAGTATCAGTACAAGCTGGGAGAAGACCTGCTAGAGAGCAGCTCTGTGGAAAAGACTTGGGGGTACTAGTGGATGAAAAGCTCGACATTAGCCAATGGCATCCTAGGCTACATGAAAAGAAGTGTCGTCAGTGGATTGAGAGAGGTGGTTCCGCTCCTCTACTCTGCCCTGGTGAGACCTCACCTGCAGTACCACGACCAGCTCTGGGGCCCCCAACACAAGAAGGATGTGGAACTGTTGGAGCGTGTCCAGAGGAGGGCCATGAACACGATCAGGGGACTGGAGCACCTCTCCTATGAAGAGCTGGGGTTGTTCAGCCTGGAGAAGAGAAGGCTCCAGGGGGACCTTATAGCGACCTTCCAATACCTGAAAGGGGCCTGTAAGAAGGCAGAGGAAGAACTGTTCACAAGGATTTTTAGTGATTGGATGAGGGGTAAGGGTTTTAAGCTAGAAAAGGGTAGATTTAGGTTGGACATTAGGGAAAAGTTCTTTAATATGAGGCTGGTGGATCACTGGAACAGGTTGCCCAGAGAGGTAGGGGAAGCCCCATCCCTGGAGACATTCAAGGTCAGGCTTGATGGGGCTCTGAGTAACCCGACCTAGTTAGAGATGTCCCTGCTTATTGTAGGGGGATTGGACTAGATGACCTTTGGAGGTCCCTTCCAACCCAATACATTCTATAATTCTATTTGTCTGTTCCAGGTGAGACCCAAAAAATTAAGCCCTATGAAGTTACAGCTAGTGCTGAAGAACTCCTTCAATTGTTTAAATAAATCCCTCTCAGAAGAGCCCAAACACGTCCAAGGAAGCGAGGAACCTTCTGGAGGAGGTATCATAGAAGGTAAATTGACTGGAGAGTAATCAGAGCAGAGCACTTCTTAAAAAAATACAGCAAGGTGAAAGAACTAGATCATGCAAACGCAAAAGTAAAATGAAACTTTTTGTCTGAGCCAAGATGCCATTTCCTAACATTTGGAACTCTGCCAATCAAATTTCAAGTAAAAAGTCATATTCTTCCTGCAGACAGCCAAAACACCTTCAGCAAACCTGATTTGGTAATCTTACTTGACAAGCCCTATTATCTACAGAACACCCACTGACATTAATAGCTCCATTCATTTCAAATCACTTTATACGCTAAAAAATGGGCAAAATTAAGAGGAAAGACAGCTGTGTAACTGTAACCAAAAATGTGCATAAGAACAACGTATATCAACTTTTTTCCCCCAATTGTATTCAAATATGCCTACAATCAAATCCAATAGTATTTATATATAAACTGTACAGTACACAAGACTACTTAGAGAATGGAATATGAAAAAAAAGAAAAACATAATTTCTAAAACAAATAAACACACTAACAGGTTCTGTACGACCTTATAATAAATACGAGGCTTTGTCATAACAACGGAGGCAACTGCCAACACTAAGAAGCTTTCACAGAGGTGACCCAAATACTCAGGTTGTGATTTTATGGCATGGTATTTGCAATGGCTGTATTACTGAGTAACAGAAAATTGAATTGCTCCTGGAACCAAATAGGGGAAAAAACCTATCTTTGTGTCCTTGAAGCCACTTGCTTCATGCAGCTTTCTCTGCCCACTACTTCAGCTGCTGCAAGAAGGCACCTGACAAATCTGCTGTGGAGATATTGAAAGAGAGAGCTAACTGCACTGATAAGTCTGTCTTGGAGAGGAAAAGCATCCTCAGACTCAGTAAGAATGAAGGAACTCTCCCAAAGAACAGACAGACTTCACCATCTTGAAGAATAAATGCTAGCTTCTTCACTACTGAACACAACAGCAATACGCATTTCTCTCTTTTGACTTCCCTTGCTACTGATGAGATGGTATGATTTTTTTAATTCCTCCAAAGTTTAAAGAAACTGCTAAACTGCAATGAGTGAAAAGAACCACAGTCCAGCAGGTATGATCCCGTTCCTCACTTCATTAATGGGGAACGAAATGAAGGTGCACAGGTGAAACAAAGCACTGCTTTGCATTCTCTCGTAAGTGAACCAACAAAAGGGGATTTCATGAGATCTTCCCCTCACAACTCATATTTTAGACAGAGTCATATAGCACAGCCAGTTCAAGGACAATAGCAACAGCCAAGGTTGCTCGGTTTGGCTCAAGATCTGAGCCATTTGCTCCTTGGTGCGCAGGACTGAGAGAACATATAGTATGTTGGCATCTGCTGTTAGCGGCTGCTTTAGGGAATTTAAAATTTAATTAACCTTCATAGTAAACCATGCAAGATTTTATGTAAGCTCAAAAAGACCACCTAGAAAACTTAACATTTCTATTTTCCTTACCTTTTACTTGTTAATCCATGGTCGACCAATGCCAGTTGAAAACTGGTAACTTTCAGGTAGCTAGTTGTTTGGAAACATTTTACAACATAAGTAATTTGTTTCCAGTGAACTGGGAAGAATCCCATGACTAGCATATTTGCTCGTTTCTTAAAGCATAAGGCCGCACTGCTGACAGTAAAACTCTCTAGAATTACAAGGCCATCCAGCTACTGCTGCTTTGACAGCACTGTGAGCTGAAGGCCTCTGCAGCTCCACAACCCTGCTGCAGAGATGCTATTGCATCAGCATGCCTGTAGTTATGCTCCCAGAGCATCGGAAAATATTTTTAAGCCCCTCTTCCTACATAAGTGCCTTTTAAAAGTAGTAATTTGCAAGCAAAATGGGAAAAAAGTAGAAACGTAGGGTGGCACATGGCCAAACTTTTGACTTAATTTCACCACAGGTTGCTTTTTATTTACAAGCGGCTAATCCCCTCTCAAACTACACAATAGAGCAGCCACTGGCAAAGGCAGGCAGATAAAATTGGCATGCCTCTATATTGTTCTTGCTAATCTGAACCATTAACAGAAGGGTGAGAAGGCTAGTTTTGTCATTTAAACAGGCTTAAATCCTCTCTCCAAATGAGCTTTTGTCTACATAGAAGAATGCATCTAGGAAATTTAAGGGGTTTCTGTTAGTGTTGCATTCTCCAGTTGACTTGGCTACAGGAATACCAACCTGTTTATTTGGCCCTCATACTGTAAATGAAAGAATTATTTCCAGCTGTCAAAACCAAAAGGGGTTCAACCTGATTAAGTTATTTCTCAGAGGTGAAACAGGATGAGATTATGAAGTGCTAAGAAGCAACTATTTGAAATCCTGAACTGCACCTGTGCAACTAAATCTCCATTTATACAGGTGCTTTTCAAATTGGATTTGAACCTTTAAATTCCCTGATTCATCCCCTGAAAAACCACAGAAGCTCAAATAACTAATGAAACTCAGAGACAGAAAGGCTTAAAATAGTTTCAAGCTGTGAAGTAAGGCCTAAGACTAACTATGCTCTTTGATTCACTGTTGATGAGACATATCAAGCAAAACCATAAATGGCACAACCCAAATGCCAGAGGTCATAGGGTAGCCAGTAGCTCAGTAATTATTTTTTCTTTAGCACAGAAGAGGTCATCACCTGGCCCATAAGCACAATAGATAGCTGAAAACCTGGGGAAAAGAATGTATTGGTTAGCATGATCTGGTTTTGTTTTGCTTTTTACCTGGCACATCTTGCGCAGATATTCAACGTGACCTTTGCTTGAGGCTCAGCCGTATAAGCACTTCGAGTTTGATTGAATTTGCTCCCAGAAGACATCACACTTGTTACTCCTTCCATTCTTAGATCATCAAGATCCTCTGCAACAAGACAGAATGACTGGATGAACCCACGATTAAATTTTGTAGCAATAAAGATGCTTCACTTGTAGAATCACTAAAGAACAGAACAACACAAAAATCAGGAAGAAAGCACACAGTTACTTGTAATAATAGGAAAACACATTTGAGAGGACTTTTATTTATATATATTATCACCCTGTTACAAGGGGTCCCTTGAAAAATATTCAGTATTATTTCCACTTCAAACAGTGCTGCATATTTTTTCAATCTTCACTTCTCTGATTTATTTGTAAAATCTTGTCATCAAGAGATGCTGTCCAATAGCTCCATTTGACATAGGGTATTTCAAAAAGAAAATTCCTTTTTTTAAGTGTATGCTCCTCCTCTGATTTTTTTTTTATTGTCTATTCACTTGGCAATGAAAAAATATTGCTAAAATAAAAGCGCTCTGCCAAACCCAGAAAATGCAAAATGGATACATACATCACATGGAAAGAGACCATAACGTGCACACTTATACCCACCATATTGCTGTAATATTTGGACAACTCCTTGAAAGAGCTAAACCCTGACAATCCCTGA